CCCTCAAAAGAGCATAGCCTTTCATGGGAGCTCCGTTTGCCCCGCTTGGACACGGCAGGTGGCCTCTCAGCATGGGTCTTGCCCTGATCCTGGCAGGTCCCACCAGGACTCCCCATGTCCTCCCACTCCTGTCCTGACCCACGGACCTGCCCGACCTGGTGCAGCGAGTCCTTGCCAGTGGCTATCAGTCTGAAAGGTGGCAGCTGGTGGAATACCATGGAAAATCTGTGCCATTCCCACCCCTGACGTCAACCCCTGGGGCCCAGAGAGCAGAGAGGTGTTTGCCCGCAGATGCTGCTACTGCTCTACGGGGGCTGGTGGAGGCAGTCAGAGCTGCTCCGGGTGCCCCCCCCCCCCCACGGTCCCTGGAAGTCCCCAGACGTGTTCCCACGCCCTTGTGCAGCCCCTGCATGATGGTCCCAAAGGGCTTCTCCAGACCTCCCTACCGCTGGACCCAGTAGCCCCCCACGGCAACGCACTGGTCCAGCTGGCACCTGCCCCCCAGTTTCAGAACACAGACGGATCAGCTGCTGAAAGCAGCTGGATCCTAAATCATCCTCGCTCTGTCCCAGCTTGCCCCTGCTCCCAGGAGCTGCTGGACGGCCAGGTAGAGCTGGCATTTCAGGTGTCTCCCGGGGCACCACGCTGCTGCCCGGTGCCGTGCGTCGCCATCACGGTGGGCAGCGGGGATGCCAAGGTCTGATGCTGCCCAGCGCCAGGAGATAAGCCTGACCCGAAGGCCAAAGCCAGCAAAAGGGAGGGAGCGAGGCAGGAAACATCAGGCAGGGGAGGAAACGGGGAGATAATCAGCTGCGTGAGCACAAACACCCGGAACCCATGGAGAGGAGAAGCCAACACCCCTCAGCGAGCATTTGAGCAGGGAGACCTGCCCGTCTGGCCCTTCGCTGAGGCTTCTTGAGGAACGCGTGCCCTGCAGCACCTTAAGGTGCTCGGGCATCCCTGACCTCCAAGTTCCCATGGCCAGCACGGCGCCTGGCAGCCCAGCTCCAGCACCAGCCTTGCCTTGGGAGGAAGGACGGGCTCCTGGGGACCAGCCGGCCTCGCTCATGCCAGCAAAGCGCTCACCGAGGGCGATTCCCAGTTGCGGAAGTCCCAGCTGGGACGCTGGGCTTCCTGCAGGCTGCAGCTCGCGGCGCTTCAATGCCTAGCAGCCCCTCGAGGTTTCTTCTCAGCCGTAGCGCCCAGGCTTCCAGCAACGCCAGAGCAGACTTCACCCGCAGAGCTTCCTGCTCCTCCTCCCACCACCTTTGGCACACAGGGCCACCCATCTCCCGGGATGTCCCAGCTCCCAGGGCGCCGGAGAGAGATGCTCACAGATTTGGCAGCCAAACCCCCGCTGGCGCAGCCAGTGGGAAGCCACCCCGTGTCACCAGCACTGCGGACCATCAGCCAAGCTGACAGAGCTTGCCCCAGCTTTCAGCAGTGCCGGTTCTCCCCATGTTCCCCGGGGAGCAGCTGCACCCATCTCATGGTGCTGGCAGTGATGAAGGGGGGGCTGTAAGTTGCCCGCAAGCAGTGGTGGGATCTCTGGCACAGATCATCTCCCAGGATCCAGCACATGGCATGGAGCAGAAGAGAGAACTATGGAGACAGACGGGCACGGAGCTGGCCCACGGTGACTGGTCAGGCTCCAGCTGGCTTCTATGGAGCAACTGGGGCAGGAGAACCTCGGCCAAGAGGCAAGAAGGCGGAGGCTTGGCTGAGCACAGCCCCGCAGCTGCAGGATCAGGCCCTTCACCCCCGCTCCCGTCCCTCAGCCATTCCCCACAAGCAATTTTTCTCCTCCTGCTGCCATCGCAGTGCTGACCAATGCCCGAGGAAGTGGGCACCGACGCCTCCGGCCACAGACGTGAGCTGGTGAAGAAAAGAGCAGAGACAGAGCAAGCATTTGCAAGGGAAATCAGGTGGCTGGGAAGAGCCCAGATGGTTCGGAGCTTCCCCAGGGGCAAAGCAGCCGCGTTGCTCCCCAGCCCCAGTGCGGCTCCGCTCGCTCGGGCAGATGCTGAGCGCAGGAGGGGAAAGCTGAGGCCGGCGTCTCCCTGCCGGGAAGCACCCACACAGCAGTGGGTACCTCGCGTGGGTATGGCTCCCGGCAGTGGCGCTGGCCGTGCCATTTCCCGAGGGCCTTGGAAAAGCGCACGTCAGCCTGGGCACGGGGAAGATGGTGAGATCCGAAGAGCCTGGGGGCTTGGCTGCCTTTGGCACAGCCAGGGATGGGGCAGTGGAGCCCCAGCCCTGGGGAAGAAGCAGGACCCAGGCATTCCAGCTCCCGCAACCACTCCAGAAAGGACCTGCCCACCCATTACAGAAAGCGCCTGAGGAGTAAGGGACCCCCTTCTCTATCTGGAGATGCTCCCAGCACCCCTGAACTTCACATGGGCATCGTGGCTCTCCTCCCATCCCCGGCTGGGCACCTGGGCTGCTTGGGACCCCCACGGAGGGGGTGCAAGTAGCCAGGGAGGTCCGTGCTCATAAGCTCTGGCCACCTCCAGCCCTGGGCACCCTGTCCCCAGGCTCAGGCTGCAGACACTCCCTGCTGTCCCTTCTCCCGGCCTCTCCAAAGTCTCTGCTACCAAAATGCCACTGGCTTAGGAGGAACTGAAGCCGGCAAGGAGGAAAAACTCACCGGTGCCTGTGACTCACCAGGCTGCGGGTGCCAGGGCTCATTGGAGCTTGTTGGGGCACAGCTCACACCGGTGGGGCAGAGACGTGGCCCCAGCCCAGCAGACTGCCCCGATGCTCTGTCTGCTTGGGGGGCGAAGCCTGGGGGTGGGGGACTGGGGCATTCACGCTCCCAGCTGGGAAACGGCGGGTGGGGGGCTCCCATGCAGAGCATTGCATGGCCTCAAGATCGCCAGACCCAGAGGGCCAGGGGTGCTCTGGCAGACCCCCCAGATGAGAGGGGGGCTCTGGGGGAAGGAGGGGTGGCTTTGCCTCTCCTGCAAGCCAGGTTGCTGTGCCCACCTGGGACAAGGCTGGGTTCTGCAGGAGCCCCGGTTCCTTTTCCCCATGCTCCCCAAGAAGCTGTCCTTTCCAGAAGGGGCAGAACCCTCCTGAGAAAACCCAGCACTGCCCCAAAGTCCTTTTCTCTGAGGGTGTCACCACCTCCTGGGCAAATTCATGCAGTCCAGGGTTGCCCGACCCATCTTACTAAGGTTCTTGGCTTCTCCACGCCACAGAAGGGCTGTTCCCACGCCGCGTTCCCACGGGACCAGGCTTCCCCCGCCCAGGGGTACCGTGCCCAGCCGGGGCTCCGCTACGTGAAGAGCTGGCTGCCTGGGACTGCAGGACTGGACCAGGGTGCTTGGTCCTCCCATTCCAGCCCCAAGGCTGCTCCCAGGAGCACCATGTCTAGCACAAAGTCCCCCACCAAGAAATCTATAGCAGAGACACCCTGCTTTGGGTGGCAGCACGGCAGAGACCAGGCAGACCTGGGCACGGTCAGCAGCCAGGGAGGACAGCTAGGATTTGGGGTGGGGACGTGGCCCCTGAGCCCCCCTCGGGCTCAAGGCAGGCAGCAGGCTGTAATGCCTGGTGATTTTTCTCCAGGGGCCAGCCCCAGGGCAGAGCTGGTCTGAGGAGGGGCACTGCAGCTGGCAGAAGGCACAGGTACTAATCAACTTTATTCATTAGCGACGTGAAAGCAGATATCACTTAGGTGGCAGAGTCCCAAGGAGGTCCCTTGCAGACCACTGAGGGCTGAGCATCCTGGTGCTCCACGGCACCTGGACCATCCCCTGGCACCACGGGGTCCCTTGCAGGGACAGAGAGCTGTCACCAAGGAATAGCTTTACCTTCCCAGTTGAGCAGGCTCCCGCTGTGTTGCTCAGAGAGGGTCGACAGCACAGACAGCAGCCCCCGCACACTCGTGTCCACCGTCAGGTCAGCCTGCAACGGGCACAGGTGAGGAGCAGGACCAAGACCCCACTGCCATTCCCGGCCATCTACCACCACCCACTCAGCTCGTGCACATCAGCAGCAAGGCTCCTTCCACGCAGACCGAGCAGAGAGCCAAGGGAGGTGGGACGGGTCTGTTACGTGGGAGGATGGATGGGAACCTGCGTGCTCACTGCTGGCTTGGATGGAGGTGGCTTGGGCTCCGAAGCCAGCTACTGGTTTCACCCAACAGGACACGTAAAAGATCCCTGCTACAAGTGGGATGCTACGTGTGGCCTTCCCAAAGCTCCAGGGACCATCCCCACTCCAAAACAGCAATGAGTGGAGACCCTCATGGACCTGCAGCTATTTGGGGAAGGGGCCACAGGGTGGGACGGTGCTTCTCCTCTCCTCCCTGCTCCATTGGATTCAGGTTGTCTGCACATCTCCAGGCTGCCCAAAGCCTTCCCCCAAGCAGGCCTCCTGCTCATCATGGGTATGTGCTGATGTTATTTCCCAGGCAGCACCCACACATTCTGCAGTGGCCCAGCACAGATGGAGGCAACCTGCAGCCCAAGAGGCAACTCATTCTCACACGGATCTCTCCTGCTGAGAGCCATCCCGGCTGCCCGAGGCACCTCCTGTGCTACTGCAAGTTTGCAGGCCTGGGTCCCCACCCATGGGTTCCCCCTCTCACCCTGCTCAGCTGGAACCCACCTCCTGGCTGCCCATGTCAGTCTTCACCCAGCCAGGGTGAAGTGCCACGCAGAGGATCCCAGCGTCCCCGTAGGTCAGAGCCTGGCACTTGGTGAGCATGTTGAGGGCAGCCTGGACGAGGAAGGAAGCATCAGCCACTGGCAGCAGAAGACTCAGCACCCCACTCCCATTTCTGCCTCATGGAGAGGGGAAAAAACAAATCCAACAATGCCAGGTCTCCAAGAGACAGTGTGTGTCTGCCCTAGGAGGGCATGGAGATGCTGAGGGAGCTCAGGCAGTGACCAGCACGGATCAGCCCATCTTGCGATCTCAGGTGCTCCTCTGGCAAGGGCCAGCTTCAACTCCCACTGAGCTCACAAGCACAGGCAGGTCCCCAGTCTCCATACCTTGCTGCAGCGGTAGGAAATGACAGGCTTGAAGAAGGACTCGGGAGTTTTCTCGATGGACCCCAGGATGGTGGAGATGTTGATAATGGCTGCCCTGCTGCAACTCAGTCCCTTTTCCGTGCTCTCCTGAGCAGCCTTCTTCAACATGGGCAGGAACACCTGGGGAGAAGCAACCCTGTGGGACGCCTCGAGCCAGACCAACTCATTGCAACTGCAACCCAGCCCACCTACGGCAGGGAGGATGAGGAAGAACAGCGGGAAGCCAAGAGAGCTCGGGTGTTTTGCTGCAGTGGCCCTGTCTGCTCCCAGTCAGCCCAGCACAACGTAGGGGAGCTACAGAGGGCTTGGGCTGGGAGCGCAGCTCTAGCACTGTGCCCTCCCTCTCGCAGCCCCGGGAAACCTGACAAAGCCCTCCGAGATCTCCATCGTGACCACAGACAGCCTGGGCTACCCTCAAGCTGGGCTAAATTCCCCCTCCATGGTGAGCTCCACCCCCAGAGCTTCAGCCTTTTAGCAGGCATGGTGGTGTTGGGTTAATGGTTGGACTTGATCTTAGAGGTCTTTTCCAACCTGAACGATTCTATGATCCATACCTGGGCCATCAGCATAGGCCCCACCGCATTGGTCTTGTACGTCCTTATCATGTCTTCAGCATCTACTGTCTCCAGCGACGCTGTCGGGGTGTAGATGCCAGCATTGTTTATTAGCAGGTTCAAGCCCATGCCGTTCAGCTTCTCCTCCACGATCTTTGCCGCATCAGCAATAGCTGAGGGATTTGCAACATCTGCGGTGGAAGAGGACAGGGTTTGAGAGCCATGAGGTCCACCCTGGGGAGGCCTGGGAGAAGAGGGAGGTTCAAGTGCTGAGGAACAGCTATGCATCTCGCCCTGCGTAGTCTTCCACCCGTGGACACCAGATGGTGCTGTGCAACCAGCTTGGAGCACCCCGGCACCCAACTCATCCCAAAACCACCTCCTCCGCCAGGCATGGGGTGCCCCACCACCAGCAGCTGAAGGACCCTGCCCTGGGGACAACCCCGGGAGTGGCAAAGCGCTGCTGCGGCTCCCACGCTGGGTCCAGCACTGGCCGGCAGCGGACAAAGTCCATGCCTGAGCAAGCTCTGGAGAACCCAGGTGCTGGGCCCTGCTGTGGGACGGCTCTGCAAGGTCCTACAGCTCCTGCCCAGGCTCCGGGCCGATCGCACAGCGTTCCCTCGGGAGCTGCCTTCCTCCCGGAGCCCGCCTAGTCTTGCCTGGGATTTGGCAGAGCAAGGACACGGCCACTCGGCTGGAGGCCACCCAGGATGGGTCTCAAGAACCTTCCTGGTCCTGCGGCCAGAGGGGAAGGAGGCTCCAGGGAACGGGGTACTGGGACTAGCACAGGTCTGGAGAAGCTGGGCAGCAGGACTCGAAGCATCTCTGAAGACCCCCACGCAGAGCCTAAAGGCAGGGAGGGAGGGAGGGAAGGAAGGAGAAAACGGGGCAAGTGTGGCCGGCGGCCACAAACGAACCAGAGGCAGAGTGCACCTACCCAGCTTCACAAGGACCAGGTTCAGGTGTTTGGATGCCAGATCTCTGAGCTCCTACAAAAAGAGATGTGGAAACCATCAGCACAAGGCAGAGGCGATGCCAGGCACCACCCTGGGGCACCAGCAACAGGTCCACCCCGAGGGAAACATCTCCCAGACGTTACTCAGCGCTGGTGAATGGCAGGACCAGGGATTCTCACGGCACTGGGATTGCTCCCAAGCCAGAATAACACCGGCAGTGAGAACACACAGAGCATCTCGAGGGCTTCCCACGGCGTCATCCCTGCATGCCGCCGGGCTGCGAGAAGATGCAGCCAGTGAAACCTGCCGGAGCCAGGATCTCTCATCGAGCAAAGGTCTCCTCGCTAGTATTCCAGCGGGTCATGGCACGGGGTGGAAACCCAAAGCTGGGCCTGAGGAAAGCTGGAATCACCGGGACGCTCGGCTCCCGTTGTTTCCCGTGGGAGCGAGTCCCTCCAGTTTTGGGGAAGTGGAAATGCCGGGCAGGAGGATCCCGCAGCTCCACGGGCCATCAGTTAAGCAACCTCCCCACCATCCCCTGCGACCACCAAGCCTTCTTTTTTTCCCCCCTTTCCCCCACCCCCAGGCCTTTTTCCCTCCCTCCCC